GGCCCTCGAGCCAGCTGAAGTGTCCTCGTTTGTACACACCACTAAGTAACTCAGGGGCCTGGTTCCAGAGGAGGACAGGTCTGGGTTCGAATCCTGCCCTTTACCCACGGGTGGCCCGAATAATAACCGGGGCACATTTCCCTCTGTGTCTGTTTGGGAGATGGGCTAATAAAGACTCACTGATGAGAGGGTTGGAGGGGTCTCCCCTGAGCTCCCTGCCTTAGAGCAGACAGACCTTTTGCTGTTCTCCCCCTTCTCCCTGCACCCCCCCCCCGCCCCACCCCCGTGGCCCCAGGAGGGCTGTGTGGATCCCTGTGGCCTGGAGGGCTGGGAATAAATAAAGCAAACACTTCCATACAGAGATCCCGGGTCCTTAACGCAGCCCTAGGACACAGGTGTGGTCCTTACACTCATTTGGCAGATGAGGCGACAGAGAGCTGGCAGATGTGCCCAAGTCACTCAGCTAGTGGGGGTTGGGGGGTGGGGGGATGTTTTAAACCAGCCAGTCTCTCCGGGGTCCGTGCTGGTAGCAGCTACACAGTCTGCAAGGTGTTAGGGCCCAACCTCCCGTGGAGGGTGGGGTGGGGGCGACAGCTTGGCTCTCTGTGTGAGACAGTCATCCTGCTCTTGGGGAGCTCACAGTCCAGGGGAAGAAACAGAGTTTCCATCCTGGGGGGTGGGAGCCCCAAAGAGAGTGCTGGGACCCAGAGTGGAGGAGGGGGACCTGAGCAGGCAGCATTCGGCTGAGACTGAAAGGGGAGGACGCTACCAGGCAAGAGCTTGGTGTGCAGGGCCGTGCAGGAGGCGCCAGGAAATGTTTCTTGACTAAATGGAAGTGTGAGGGAACCGCCAGCATCAGGCCCAAGTGCTGGACGCTCCACGAGACCGGCCCTCTCTCCTCCAGGCGCTGGGGCTGCTGGTGTGGGCCCTGATCGCCGACACCCCGTACCACCTGTACCCGGCCTACGGCTGGGTGATGTTCGTCGCTGTCTTCCTCTGGCTGGTGACAATCGCCCTCTTCGTCCTCTACCTGTTTCAGCTGCACATGAAGTTGTACATGGTGCCCTGGCCGCTGGTGGTGAGTGTGGATGGGGGGTGCTCCAGGCTGAGCTGTGGGTGTGACCTCCCCCAAATGAGAGGTGGCCGTGGGATGGCTGCAGTCCTGGGGCCCTCCGCTAGCCCGCAGAGCTGGGGGTAGGGGGGTGGGGGTTGGATGGCTTGGTGGCCAGTTTTTCCGGGCACTGGGAGCGGAGCCAGGAAGCTCACGGGCCTGGCTTTCTCGGGGGGAAGGGAGTAGAGATCAGGGGCTGTTGGCCGGAGAGACCAGAGGCCATCTGGAGTCATACATATACTGTTTCTTTTGGGGGCAGTCGGAGTTTGAGCCCGTGTGGCAGAGGGTCTCTGGAGGCTGGGCTGGCAGGAATACCCAGGCTGCCTGGTGCGTGCGGGGCGGTGCGTGCCGGGCGGTGCGTGCCGGGCGGTGCGTGCCGGGCGGTGCGTGCCGGGCGGTGCGTGCCGGGCGGTGCGTGCCGGGCGGTGCGTGCCGGGCGGTGCGTGCCGGGCGGTGCGTGCCGGGCGGTGCGTGCCGGGCGGTGCGTGCCGGGCGGTGCGTGCCGGGCGGTGCGTGCCGGGCGGTGCGTGCCGGGCGGTGCGTGCCGGGCGGTGCGTGCCGGGCGGTGCGTGCCGGGCGGTGCGTGCCGGGCGGTGCGTGCCGGGCGGTGCGTGCCGGGCGGTGCGTGCCGGGCGGTGCGTGCCGGGCGGTGCGTGCCGGGCGGTGCGTGCGGGGCAGTGCGTGCGGGGCGGGGTGTGCAGGTGTTGTGTGCGGCTCTGTGTGGGCGGGGCTGTGTGTGCGGGGCGGTGTGTGCGGGGTGGTGTGTACAGGATGCGCTCGGGTGCAGCAGGGCGTCCATCCGCTGCCTCCAGGGTGGCCCCTGCAGCGGGCGAGGGTGGAGTCCCAGGTTGGCCCAGGTCAGGCTCCCCAGGACAGAGCGGGCACAGGAAGTGCCCGGGCCGGACGCAGAGAAAGCGCTGGCTTTTTTCTCTGACCCGGAAAACGCCTGCAGCTGGGCTCTGAGCCTCTCGGCGAGCAGAGAGGAGAGAGAGGCACATGATTGTAAGACAAGCAAGGCTGGGACTAGGCCGCATTGTTTGCAATTCAATGACTTTTTAAACGGAGGAAACGTGAGTCATCCTCAAGACAGACCGGGTTTGTTGGATCTTGACATCACTGGCAGGAGCCAGGCAGCGTTTGCAGCAGGAGCCGGGCTTGCAGGGAAGGTCCTGGGCGA